AATTGAACCTATAACCTTGGCCTCATTAATTTACCTTCTGTACAGTCGCCTTTTGGAAATTTATGTTCTACTGTAATGAGATTAAGAGTGCGATTTCATTCATTCAATAAATAGTAGCAACCATCCACTAATGGCAGCAGGGTGCACAGAGATGCACAGGACAAGATTTTTGCCCTCCAGGGATTAGGATAAGTGCACAGGTCACTAATGTGAGGCCCAAAGTGGTGTCTGCTGAAAGGGGGAGGGGAGGGTAGCGCAGTGCTGGGGTGAATCGGGGGAGGGAAAGCGGTGCTTGCTGCTGGGAGAACACCAGGGCTCCTAAAGGATGGATGTGCTACGGGGAGTGTGAACAGGGGTGAGGAAGCAGGGTTGTGTCAGTGCCAGTGTCCGCACCGACAGGGAGGTCAGCGTCATGCGGCCTGCACGAGGCTGGGCATGTGAGAGGACCTGCAGGGGAAGGTTGAGAGGGGGGAAGACTGAGCTGTCCTACCGAGGTCATCATTCATGGTGGTGTTGGTGGGACGATGGAAGTAATGAAGTCAAGCTCTTAAATAGGAAAAATCATTTGTCAGCCAGTGTGGAAGGAATTGGGAGGAGAGGCTGGTGACAGGGAGGATGCCTGAGAAAGTGAGAGACAGGGACCTGGATCCCTGTTCACAGTAGCCGGTGAGGCCGAACGGCAGACCTGGTGACTGTTAGATTTGCCAGTTAGGAAGGAGTCCAGGGTTTGAACCTGGGAGGTTCACAGATGGCAGTACCCTTCCAGAAGTGCATGGAACACAGATGCAGAGATGTTCTATAAAGGAAGTGAAAACAGGCCGTTGGACATGGGGGGAGTGTTTGGAGCCGGATGGGAAGATTTGGGAAGTCATTCACCAAGAGAGCTGTTTGAGCCGGGAGAGTCAATGAGATCATTAAGGGACAAAGTACAGAAATAAGGAAAAAGATGGCCAAGGGTCGAGCTCCGAAGAAAAGCTACATTGATGATCTAGAAAATGAGAAGGAGCCTGAAAAATAGAGGAGGCGTGTTAGGGAGAACAGGCTCAGTACAGTGTTACAGAAACCCAGGAGGCAGAGGGCTGCTGAGAGGCGTGTACAGGCAGATTTGCTCTAATGTCATTGAAAGATGGTAGTGAACAAGAGGGGAAAAGGGTTCGTGTTTGCTTTAGTTTTATAATGAAAAAGAAATGTTTTAATTTGAATTTCACAGTGCATCCTTTTTATGCTAGACTTTCTCTTCAACTTTTCTTAATTTGGTTCCACTACATACATCTCACTCTCAAGATAGTTAAAAACAAATCTCATTCCTTCATATAAGGACTGTGGGAGGACTTCAGAATTGACGATGGGATGGGTTTTATGGTGTCTGTTGCAATAATGCCAGTTATTCAAAATCAGTCATTTATTCAAGTGCTGACTGGGGTCCTGGTCTGCCCCAGGTACTAAATGGTCCAGGAACTGGGCACACGATCGTAAATAGCAGAAGAAAATCCTGGCTCCTATTGAGTTTACTTTTTTTGTGTGTCTGAGGAAGACAATAAACAGAGTACAGAGGTAAAGAGGACAATATATTCGATGGTAATTTGTTCCGAGAGGAAAAATAAAGCAGAAAGGGGATAGAGGGTCCTAAGGAAGGAGGCATTTTCAGCAGTGTAGTCAGGCCAGACTGAGAAGGTGACATTTGGATGAAGCCTTGAAGGAGGTGGGCGGGACTCTGTAGATATCTAGGTGAGAGGGGAGAGCAAGTGCAAAGGTTCTGAGGTGGGAGCACACCTGGTGGTTTTGGGGGCCACTGAGGAGGCCAGTGTTGCTGAGTGGTATAGGCAAGCAAGAGAGGTTAGAGAAGTCTGGGAGGCCAGATTTGGCCCTGCGGTAACATGGATAACTGACTTTTCTTTTGAGTGTGAGGGAAAGCCCCTGGATGGTTTTGAGCAAAGGAGTGAATAAAGATGATTCTGGCTGCAGAGGAAGGAAGGGGTGGCAAGGAAAAACAGGAAGATCACCTAGGAGGCTTTTGCAAATCCCTGCGAAGAGGTGTTGACAGCTGAAGCTTAGTGGTACGAGAGGAGGTGTGTGAAGTGAGTAGAATCTGGATGTATTCTGAAGGCAGAGTAAATAGAATTTAGCAGATTGGATGTGTGGAGGGAGAGAGTAAAGAGTCAGAGATGAGTCCAAGTTGCTGTTTTAGTTTGCCAGGGCCATGGTAACAAAGTACCACAAACCGGGTGGCTTAAACAACAAAGATGTATTGTCTCACGGTCCTGAAGACCCAAAGTCCAAGGTTAACGTGGGAGCAGGATTGCTTCCTTCTGAAGGCTGTTAGGGAGAATCTGTTTCTTACCTGTCTCCAGCTTCTGGTGGTTTTCTGGCAATCTTTGATGTTAACTGGCTCGTGAAAGTGTCACTGCCTTTACCTTCACATGGCATTCTCTGTGTGTGTCTGTGTCCTGATTTCCACTTTTTAAGAAGGATGTGGGTCATGTTGGAATAGGGGTCCACCCTACTCTAGAATGCTCTCATCTTAACTAAGGTATCTGCTATGACTCTATTCCCAAAAGAGATCACACTTGGAGGTTCTAGGGACTAGGACTTCAACATGGGAATTTTGGAGAAGACACAGCTCAGCCCGTAACAGTTGCCATTAACCGAGATGACAAAGTCTGTCTGTAGGAGGAGCAGGTTTGGGGCAGGGAGAAGATCAGCGAAGTTATGGACATGTTAAGTTTGAGGTGTACCTCAGACACTCAAGTGGGCATGTCAGGCAGGTGGATAAATGAGTCAGAAATTTCAGGAGGTGTCTGAGCTGGAGATAAATATTTGGAAGCCCTGGGCATATCCATGTTGTTAAAGCTAAGAAACTAGACAAGAGCACAGAGAGGATGGGTTTGACAAGAGGAGGAGGGTTATAAAAAGTGAAGTTAAGAGATTATTAAGTTTGGAGACCAAGACCAAGGCTCCCATAAATGTGAAACACAAGTCCTACCTACGCTTGTAGTTGTGAAAAAGCAGCCACAGTTAACGACGATTGTAAGTTGCATTCTAATTGTTTATGAACTTGCGATATTTCCCTGTGAGGGGTAAGAGAGGTAAGAGGGTCGGACAGAGCATGGGTTGAGTTTCTCTGACATGCTGAAGAAGTTACTGGTGCTGAAATGGAATGTTTTGAATGCCATAAAGAAGTCAAAGGACACTAATAAAAATAATAAAGAGCACTTTTCTCGGAAGGAGAAACAACTTTGGAGAACATTGTTGCAGTCCTTGATTTAAGAAGTCATTTTCTAAAAAGTCAGTCATGCTGCAGTGCTCCAGCAGCTGAATACTTTGTTCCTTCTGTTTTTCGTGAGAGCATAGTGAAAACGTCTTTAAAAAAAAAAAAAAAAAATTACCAGGACAGAATTAATCACGTTTTAGCTAATTTGGAAAACAGAGAAAGCATCACCGTGACATAACCATTCTAGTCTTCTAATGTGTTTTCTTTGAGTCTTTTCCACATGTTCCTGCTGTTTCACATGGAGACTGATGTCGTCGTGACAGCAAGGCGATGATGGTGACATACAACAGTTCTATTCAGAGTCTTCTGAACACATCCATCTGGCATTTCCCTGAGCCGTTGCACCTCTGCTTCCCCCGCACCTTTTCTTTGTCCAGCTCTCATCCTGTTGTGCTTCCAGATTCAGTTCAGTGGTCACCTTTGGGGAAGTGCTTCCCTACTGGCAGAGTCCCACCCTTCCCAGTATGTGCCGCCATACTACCCCGCACCATAGCACTTACCGTAATTGTTCAGGTCCCCACTCACTGGAGGACAGAGACTGGCTTTGGGTATTTATTTCCTTAGTACCTTGCATAGGGCCTGTGGGTACATATTCAACAAATACATGTGGACTACAAATGAATAATGTCACCTTCTTTGCCTGTTCAGAATACGTCTGTCACTGAACTGCGATGCCTTATTAGAATGTAAAATATTCTTGTTTAAATTAGCACAGTAATATAGAATGTATCACAGTATATATGAGAAGATTCCCCTTTAAAAGTATTCATAGAGGGGCACCTGGCACATGAATAAAAGTATTCATAGAGGGGCACATAGAGGGGCACCTGGGTGGCTCAGTCCGTTAAATGTCCGTCCGACTTCAACTCAGGTGATGATCTCACGGTTCGTGAGTTTGAGCCCGTGTAGGGCTGACAGCTCAGAGCCTGGAGCCTGCTTTGGATTCCGTGTCTCTCTGTCTCTCTGTCCCTCCCCTCTTCGCACTGTCTCTCTTTCAAAAATAAATAAGCAATAAAAAATTTTTGTAAGTATTCATACAGATTTTTGTCTAAAGGGCTGAATTTTCCCCTAAAAACTGATGCCCTTCATTTTCTTACCAGAAAGATACCTGAGATATTCACCACATAATGGCTTTTGTTTTTTGAGTATTGACTGTGTCCTTTTAGTAAGCAAAATGAAGTGATTTGAACATACCTATATAAGGTAACACGGAAAAATGCAGAAGCTTGGAGGGGTAGAATTGCTGGCAGTCAAGGCAAGAATTTTTACATTTTGATTAGTGGATTGTTTTGGAAATAGGAGAGTTTTTTATCTGGCATAATTGAGATATATAATGTGAGTCTGGGTGAAGAGAGTAAAGAAGTATTGTAATAGCTCTTTGATGCCAAAAATACTTCCATAATGACTCAGCTCAAGATTCTCCTCCTCCCTGCCCACCTAGAATGCAAATAATTTTTTTGGTCAACTTTCTCAAAAATAGCGGGGCCGGGGGGAATATTTATGTGATTATTGTTTCTTGGTATTGAGAAAAGGCTTTGCTGCATAGAATTCTGGATAGCATTACTCCACTGATAGGGTTTTACCTTCATTTTCTAGGTCACATCTGTGACCAGTAAATACTGAATTCATTTATGAAACTGCGAGTATTGACAAAGTTTGAGCTAAGCTGTACAGCATATCAAATTTGCTATTGTAGCGTATTTATTTAAATCTTGATTTCTTTCCCCAGCTCTACTTTACGAAGTGTTTCTACTGGATCTTCAAGACCTTCCAAAATATGTTTGGTGTGTGGGGATGAGGCTTCAGGATGTCATTATGGGGTAGTAACCTGTGGCAGCTGCAAAGTATTCTTCAAAAGAGCAGTGGAAGGTAAATGTTCATGTGGGTGTTCCTTTTACACGTTTTCTTTCCTGCTGCATAGTTTGCGTGCATAGTTAACTCTAAATCACTACTGGGAAATAGATACAAAATACTTCTGAGGCAGTCTGTCAGTGATAAATAGTAGTAATGTCTTATCTAAAAACCACCTGGAGATTTTCCACTGAGTGCTGTTGAATGGGCAGAATTTGAAATTGGGAATTGAGATCTGTCAGAAAGAACTTTTTTGTTTTTATTGGTCTTTGTTTTTCAGTGAGACTTAGAAAAATAATTCTCCATAAACTTAATTTAAATGATGTGCAAGAGCATTTTTACTAGGCACACATAGAATGTGTCACGTCTTTTCTGTGTTTTTGTATAAATATATGTGTTTGTGGCAAATTGAAATTTTAATATCAGGATCGTGTCTGTGAGTTAAGTTGTGTTCCATGCAGAATAATTGCATTGAACAGCTGCTTCAGATTCCAGGTCCCTGCTTCAGTCCTACCGTTGTTCTAACTGAAGGTTTCCAAACCAGTACACTAAATTAAACATTTGACTGAGATTCTCTAGGTATATTTAGGCTAGCTTTGCTTCTGTCCAAGTAATTGTACTTCCTGAGGAGAGGTAGTCTTTTAGATTGTGTTCTCCTTCCTCCGTCCTCACTTGTAAGCCATTAATTACCATCAGACTTAGATGGTTTTAGTAATATTGACTGTATGATTGGCTGAAGTGTAGAAGTTTTGCTCTTAGTAGCAGCATTATTGCATCATTGATGCTTATTTTATGGAGGAGCTCAACACTAAGACTCCTGTAGGTTTATTTCTCGGGCAGTTTTCTGGGGGATGAACTACTGCTTCAGAGACTTAAAGCACTTGAATGTTTCATCCTTGTTTTGCTGGTGACCACAGGAAGCTGGTGTCCTCAGTTCTGGATGGAAAAGCTGACCAACTCGTTATTTCTGTGCTTCTAGGATTGGTTTCGTGTTATTTAATTAATATTACATGATTTTACATTATTTACACTATTAATTATTTAATAGTCCCGAAACTCAGCATTGAATTGGTAATAGGAGTTCTGTATTTCTCAGAATATGGGCTCTTGGTTACAGGTGACAGAAAATCAACACAAACAGGCTTAAGCAGCAGTGGAAATTCATTGGCTCACATAACCGTAAAGCCCTGGTGTAGGCTTGGCTTCAAACAAGCCATGGTTGTAAACCAGGTGGTTAGAACTCCATTGTATTCTCTGCAGTGCTTGACTTTGCTCTGACTCTGTTCTCATCCAGGTTCTCTCATGGTGATAACTACCAGGACCTCATTAAAAAGAAGTTCTCTGTTCCCAGCAGTTCTTAGAAAAGCTCCCAGTTAAATCTCCTCTAAGACTGCACTTGGCTCCCATGTTCCCCTCCAAACCAATTACAGTGACCTGGGAATGCAGTGATCTGACAGGCTAGTTCTGGCCAGAGTCAGCCAACTTAAACTACCTACACTAACAGTGGGGAAGAGCATTTCCTGTAGGAAACCATGGATTCTGTTACCAGGAGATTGATTTCTGGAAAATAAATTTGTGCAGTACTGAGATCAATTTATTTTTTAAGACTTTCCTCACCCACCACTCCCCTCTTTCTATCCTTAACTATATGATTGGCTCAGTAGAAGATAAGATAATAAGGTAAAATTACCTTTGGTACCTTCCTAATGCCACTTTGTACCTTCCAATATAAGGACTCCCCTCTTAGGCTCACTAATTAGTGAACAAAGTAAGGCAATATATAACAATAAAGCAGTGTAGAGAGGGCATTTGGAATGGTACCCTCTGTGGTACCCTGCCTGTGGCTCAGCCTTCGTATCAGAACCCAAGTTGTGGCTGTTTTTGGAACCTGGACTTCTCTGCTTCTGAAGCAAATGGCTTTCCCAAAGGTTTTGCTTAGTTTTGTTGTTTTAAGTAGTTTCTATGGAAGTAGCTGAGGAAACAATTGTTTTTGTAACTGAGGTATAAATAAATATGGAAAAACCTTGATGTCTAGACATCCTTTTCTTCCATTGGAAATTTGATCGATAATAGATAATGAAACTTGATGAGCACCTTTTAAGACTTTTATTAATATAGCTTAGTCCTGGGGCGCCTGGGTGGCTCAGTCGGTTAAGCGTCCGACTTCTGCTCAGGTCATGATCTCACGGTTCCTGAGTTCAAGCCCTGCATTGGGCTCTGTGCTGACAGCTCAGAGCCTGGAGCCTGCTTTGGATTCTGTCTCCCTCTCTCTCTCTCTGCTCTTCCCCTCCTGACACTCTCTCTCTCTCTCTCTCTCTCTCTCTCTCTCTCTCTCTCAAAAATAAAATAAACATTAAAAATTAAAAAAAATATAACGTAGTCCCTATTTTGGGGGGAATTCTGATTTGATTTGACTTTACTTTTTTTAATATGAAATTTATTGTCAAATTGGTTTCCATACAACACCCAGTGCTCATCCCAACAGGTGCCCTCCTCAATACCCATCACCCACCCTCCCCTCCCTCCCACCTGCCCATCCAGGAAGTAGCGACAGCTAACAAATTGATCAAAAACTACTTAAGCAATATAACGGAACAAGAATTTAGAATAATAGTCATAAAATTAATTGCTGGGTTGAAAAAAGCATAGAGGATAGCAGAGAATCTATTGCTACAGAGATCAAGGGACTAAGAAATAGTCACGAGGAGCTAAAAAATGCTATAAATGAGGTGCAAAATAAAATGGAGGCAGCCATAGCACAGATTGAAGAGGCAAAAGAGAGAATAGGTGAATTAGAAGATAAAATTATGGAAAAAGAGGAAGCTGAGAAAAAGATAAAAATTCAGGAGTATGAGGGGAGAATTAGAGAACTAAGTGGGAATTTTGATTTTAGAGCTCACCTGAGTGAAACCAGACCATAAATTTTGAAAATAAACTTGATCAGAGTGAGGACTTACTTGTTTTTATTTTGTATTTGTATTTACTGTTTTATCATGTGTGTATGAGAGAGAATATGTGAGAAGTTGGACTCTGTATCAGAACTTTTTTGATTTAATAAAAATAAATTATTTTTATAATACTTTATAGTTGGAAGCACTAGTTTCATAAAATTATGGTATATGGATATATTATTCTTCCCCTTTTATAGATGAAGAAAGTTGGGATCAGACCCAGTTTATCAATCTATTCAGAATCATTAGACCAAACTTGGACCTGGATTAAAGTCTCAGGACTCCACACCTAGACCCAACCCAGCATCTCACAACTCTGAATCTCTCAGTCTACTTCTTTCATTTTCTATAATTTTCAAGCTCATGGAAACTCTACCCTATATGTCATTTGTTCATGCCTACTTGGTGATAATGGTGTGGTGTAAGCATTGAGAAGACATAATTTGCTCTATATTATAGTGTATCTAAAAATATATAATACATATATATAACACATAAATATATGTAATACGTGTATATATATATACACACACACACACACACACACTGTGTGTGTGTGTGTGTGTGTGTATAGATAGATATCAGGCTTTCCCTGATAACCTTAAGCTCTTCCTTAGATTATAAAAGCAGAGAATTCAAGAACCAGTAGATAGAGGGAGCTGGGATAAGGGGAGTCAGGTAAGCTGAAAAGAGCTAACCACACCAAGCGCAGAACTGGAAGCATCCACTAGAGTGGAGGCAGGAAGAAAGATGGAACAGTCTGAGCTCTGAGTTTACTGGTTTAGGGCTTTATGCCCTAGAGCACTCCACTCTAAAGCTTGGTATAATAGTGTAGTAGTAACGGTGTAAGGAGACTGCAAATCATTTGTTAAAAGTATAAATTATGGGGACACCCGGGTGGCTCAGTTGGTTAAGCACCTGACTCTTGATCTCGGCTCAGGTCATCTCATGGTTCATGAGATTGAGCCCCACATCAGGCTCTGCGCTGACAGTGCAGAGCCTGCTTGTGATTCTCTTTCTCTCTTTCTCTCTCTCTCTCTCCCTCTCCCTCCCTCCCTCCCATCCACACACTTTCTCAAAATAGGTAAATAAACTTAAAAAAAAACATTAAAAAATGTGTAAATTATGTTCTTTGTGTTCTGTTTAATGGGACATATATATGTGCTTATTTTTTTTATCTTAAACATTTAATATAAAAAAACTTAGAAGTCTCATCCAGAACAGCTTATTTTCCAATAATGTCAGTTAAGAGCCATATTATTGTATGTTACAAATGGAAGTTTATAATTTGTTTTTAAATTTGAATTGCTTATTTGCCTTGAAGTTTTGTCAAGATCTTTCTATCTTAAAAGGAAAAAGAATATGGGGCGCCTGGGTGGCTCAGTCGGTTAAGTGTCCGACTTCGGCTCAGGTCATGATCTCGCGGTCTGTGAGTTCTGGCCCCGCGTC